AATAATTATTTTGTCATTGAAAAAGAACTTAGAGGACAACAAATTAACTAGGGTATATTAGTCTTTTGATATTCTCCTTATTTCATCTTACTTTTGCGCTTAAATCCCTTGTATTTTAGGATGGAAGAAGTAGACCTTGGAGGAGGGTCAAGGTCGTGATATTCCATTATATTAGCTGTACGTTCTCAGTACTTTCCGGAACCTACTAGTATATATGCTCTCATGAGCTGCATGTAATTAAGTGGTGGTTAGTATCAGATCTTTTTCTACTGCTTTTGTTTAAATATTTAAAAAAAATGGACATTAATTTGGTTTACTTGTTGTGTCATGTTACCAGACAGCTAACTACGATAAGATATATATGTCTGAATGATTATATATGATACACACTTTTGCTTTTTAGCATCGATTTAGATGTGTCATCACTCTTCCTTCCTTACCGCGTGCCAATTATTTTACCTAATCAGATTCCACCACCAAACTAATTTGCTAGCAGAGATATTCCGCACTACCCAGCTTTTAGTGCCGTTGGTTAAACTGAGTATATATCTAACTTTCAAGGGCCTTAATTATTTCAAAGTGTAGTTTATTTTTTTACTTTTATTGTTTGGTGAAGTAGCTCCATTTCCACTGGACAGTCTGTGTAGGTAGTTCTGCCGATGAGCAGAACAAGTAGAGAGAGAAAAAGAGGCACTCTGCTGGTAATAATACAACAGTAAAATTAACATGTTCTCTATTCCTGTGTTATGGATTACACATATAGAGCAGATATATGTGTACTTTCTTCTAGATGTACATCTCTGCTGCGAAAATTGGGAGTTCTCTGTGCTATGTAAACGGTCCACCTATAGTCATTCAACAGCGACTATCAAAAATTATTGTCTCCAATCAACGGTGGTAGGAGCTTGCAACGGTGGTGGCTGCGTGCGTTGTTGGCCGTTGGCTGTGCGCAGCGGTTCTCATGGGACTGGCTGTGGGATGTGTTAGCAATTTAGGCAATTTCATGTTAAAATTAATCCAGAAAAATATTAACAAATTTTGTGATGACAAATATGTGCACGTGTGTGATTTTACTACTACTCAGATTAGCAGCAAATAAGTTGATGAACATCATACTGATCATGGCGCAAAAGTGCGAACACAAGGTTGATATGTGCCCTTGTGGTTCGGATTTGTGATGAGTGATTGTCAACATGATTCGCATCTTGGGTTGAGTTTGTGAACTAACCATAGCGTGAGTTGGGTTGTGTGACATGTCTCTTGGCTTGTGGTGTGTAGGTGTGGAGCTCGGACCCGGTGGTCGATGGCGAGGTGAAGGTCAAGTAGAGACGTGTCGTGCCGACGGACCGGGAGTGAAGGATGGACGTGAGGTTTGGACTGAGGGACCAGGAGGCCGGGTGACCAACTCCTGTGGCTGACATCTGGGACATCGACAAGTGCAAGTGTACATAGGAGTGACCGTGTTGACCGAGTCAAGACGTCGGATATGCGAGTCGAGCGGGGCTCAAGAGGACTTGGCGGTTGGCCAGTCGAGGACGGCGGTGACACGTGTCGAGTGGTGGAGGACGCGTATGGAGTACGCTACTCGCGGGCGATTTGGTGGTTTGGGCCTCAAAACCATCGGTGGCCGGTTTCACGGGTTTGGCCTCAAAACCCGGGTGGAGGTTCCGAGGAGGAACAGACGGCATGTGGCGGCATCGAGGAGTTCGCGTTGAGGCGAAGCTATCTCATGAAGGGCGTGGTGGCCGTAGGATGAAGATTACCTCGGGTTCGACCATAACGCCCTCGGGTTAAGTGGTTCGACTCAAAATATCTAGGGTCAAAACTAGGATTGTGTAATAGCCCTGTTAAATAGGATGAGGGAGCTCCCATCTCCCTCACCTCTTTCATTTTTTTACTTCATCCTTCTCTAGGTTTTCCCCTCCCCTTAAGTTTTATTGTGAGAGAGGTCCACAAATTGGAGAATTTGTGTAAGAACCAAAGATTGCAGCAGGAATGGAGGCCCTAACCTCCTCGTGTCCTCCGCGATTCGATTTGAGAGATGTTCTTCTGAATCCTGTTTGTGTTCTTCACGTTCTCCCTTTCTCCCTTGTCTTGTGTGGTTCAATTCATCGTTTGGAGACCTTTTTGATTCGTTCCTTTTACACTAAGATGAACTAGGACGTGAATTGAGTCTTTCCACTGAAGGATTTCATCTAATTCCTCACGAGTTCATAGATATGGGCGAATCAAGCTTTAGGGTTAGAAAACCGGTGTTCTTCGGGGTTTCTTGATTTTCCGTTGATTGGCTTCAAATTGGGCAATGATCTCATAGGGGTAGCTCACCTATTGCACTGTGACCATGTGGTTAAAATTTGGTGATAATTGGTTTTGATTTGGCCGTAAATAGGGATTTTTGGGCGACTCTGTTCGTGCTGATTTCGCGACCCGCGGACAGTCCGCCCCTGACCCCTGGACAGTCCACATGTATTGTTCACGTTGCGAGTAGAAGGTTTCTTTTGGCCGTGTTTTGCTGCTCTGAACGTCGGACAGTCTGGGACCTCACCGCGGACAGTCCGGGGATGCTATTGAAGCGTGTCTAGAACTGTTTCAGCAAGTTTGTTTTCTGGTGTTTGACTTGCGGACAGTCTAGGATTCAACCTCGGACAGTCCGCCGTTGTTCTTTCTATCTAGGTCAGAACTGTTTCTCATCGTTCGGTTTTTGGGAGTTGAACACCGAACAGTCCACCCCCCAACCCTGGACAATCCGGGACCTGACCCGCAGACAGTCCGGGCTCCCTTCGGCAGACAGTCCGGGCCTGTGCAGATTGTGTTGTTTTCTCTCATTCTTTCGAGCTCTTATTTCCGTCGGTTCTCGGTTGATCCGTTGTACTTCTTGGTCATCACTAAAGGTACCTAGCCACCCGTTGGCTTGTGATAATACTGATCTCACGTGTGTTTGCTCTTGGGTTGTGATTTTGGGACAACGGCTTAGAGTTTCGAAAGAAATTTGAGGCTCCCATTCACCCCCTCTGGTCGATGTTTTTGGTCCTTCAAAAAGAGATTGAACTTAACCAATTTGAGAATAGAGATGTACCCTGCGGAGGGACCCATGCTCAAGGCACCGGTGGCTCCAGACCCACTCATGGTGAGTTGCTCGAAGTCGTGGACCACAGTCGTTGCAAGAAGATGTACGCAGTGCTATCCCTCGAACATCCACCGGGAAGTAGATGGCCGATATGAGGAAGAAACTAGGAAGGAGATGAAGACATTCCGATGAAGACGAAGACAACGAGCAGTCGCGGAGATGCTCCCCTAAAACCTGATCACCCACACACACCCGAGCAGGTGTCCCGATACAAACGGCGGTTCCGGAGGCCTACTCTCCCAAAGCTCCGTGCGCGCAGAGGATGGGACGGGGAGTACTCGAGTACAACTCGATTGGAGGATGAAGGTAATGTAACACCTCCACATTAGGGCCTGTACCCCTTCCTCTTTCTTAGCCAGCCCAAGTGGCAAAACCAACCCGCGCTCATGCACGACACGCCACGGCTCGGCTCGGCGACAGTGGCGGCGGCGCACGTGCGTGTGGCACGCCTTTGGCCTCTTTGAACTTCTCTATAGGTGCACAAGTATGTTGCCTATTTAAGTTGAGTCAACAATCAGTCAGAATCCCATACGTGACTAAAACTATATTGTACCACAGCATTTAATAAGGGCCTAGAATTAATTGTTTTATTAAATAAATTATGGGCCTAAACCCATATAATATTCAATAGGATGGTGTTGTTGCTCCTTGCGTGGATGAGGTGGTAGAACTAGGCAAAACTCTTCGTTGACTTCTGTAGGAGTTGATGACGGTGACACCCTCAGGCGCCAAGTGTAGTTCTAGGCGCATCTTCCTTACCCTGTGAATTTCCTCCAGAAAATTTTACTGGGTTAGCCTGAATGGACGACAGCAATGTAGTGTTGTTTCCTCCTTCAAGGTGTCGCCTTGGTGGTTAAACCCTAAACCCTAAACCATTGGTTCATGTGGGGCATCTCATCAGTAGTTATTTGAGGCTGTGTTCTTTCGCATAAGGCCATGCTTTGTCAGTGCTGCCACATGCTTTGTGGCACATTGATGTCACCCTTGCTCTGAGCTTGTAGGGTGAAGTTAGCACCGCTGTTTGTGAGGTGTGGTCATGCTAGGTTGCTAGGAAATGATGACTTGATGCATTCTCCATCTAGATGTGGACTTGTGGTGGTGGTGTTGTTTGTAGGTGGCAGCGCTTTGGTGGCTGATGTCTGCCTTGTGGAATCGGACCTACTGGTTGATATATTGTGACGAGCTCGGTGATGATGACACACGATGAGCTCCATCTTTCATGAGTTGATGCTGAGTGTTTGTGGTATACTCAAGGTTAACTGTCCCGAGCGCCGTGCCTCTTTGGGTTTTCTCCTAATAAATTACGTGGCTGTTTGGTTTTCGGTCCTAGTTTTTTACAAATTAAACCGAGTTAACTCTTTTCTTCTTCAGTGAATCACAGGAGTTCTATACCCCCTTCAAAGAGATTTTGGTCTCAAGGGGCTATGGTATGGGTAATACTTCTTTCATATATATATATTTTGATAAAGGATATATAACATTCGGTCTCTATATCCAAATGGGATGAATTGAGATTTGTTCCTTCTCATTTTCTGGTATGAGGTGTGTGTAAGTGTGTTAAGTATGTTGATATTTTTTTTATTTACTTCAGGGCTCCACAGAGATGCCAAGTGTTTTTACATCCACCTGCTCAATCCCTTGAGCATCTAGCAAAGAGATTTTAGACAACAAATGGGAATACTGATTGCTTCTAAAACTAAAGACAAATGGGAATAGTGCCAAACTCTGGAATCTCCACCAGAAAAGAACTCCGCAAACCGCCTATAAATAGAGACCACCATATTTCCACCTGCACCAAGCAAGCTCTGAAGGGCAAACAGCTAGCTACCATCCTCTAATCTCTCTCTAGCATCCAGCAGAAAACAAGCTGACAATGTTTGGCAGCACCAAGACCACCATGGCTCCTCCTACTGATGGTGAGGTGAGGATTCAGAAAGTTGACAAGATTGAGGTCGTCTACAACATCCTCTCCAAGCCAAAACTGTATAACCCGACTGCGGCAACCGGGAAGTATCGTACTGCTGGTCATCAGGAGGTCACAGGTTGGAATAAGATTGAGAACCCCAGCAGGCCTAGGAGTGTAGTTTCTGTGGAAGACATCAACAAGAGGTCTGAAAAGTACATCACAGAGATGAAGAAACGATTTCTTGGCTAGGTAGCACCTGAGCCTGTGATAACAAGGTGAAGATCTTGATAATATTGGTGTCATCCATGGAATTGGTTTGGTTATATGTATAGTTGATATTACCCTGTGGGATGGAATATATGTGTAAGATATTGGTGTCATCCATGGAATTGGTTGTTATATGTGAGAGACTGCTTTAGTTATAAATGCTTTTATGCATGATGTATGCATGTTATGTATGTGATATTTAGAACATAATGTTGAGTAACAAGCTTAGTATCAATATGTATGTGTCCTACCAATGGTCAGTTTTCACAAAGCTGTACAGTTTCATATATACTGTTCCTTTATGACAATCTGAGTAGGAAACAATCAAATGCACCGCTGCTAGCCAAACATGCTAATAGAAGGATCTATTTCAAACAAAAGAATTGACTTATGAGATAGTTACCAAATTGGGTATTAGAAACTTCAGCCTTCAGGGCGAAAGCTGACACAAGTCTTTCCTGTTTTCTTCTCTCTGATCCTGAATTTGTGCCTTTTCCTTTGTAACATCCAAATAGTTTACTCAGTTTTTGGGCATTTTGGACCATGTAATATCCAAAGAACATGGCACCCTAAAGCTCGTGTATTTTTGCATTCTTTTTAGTTTTGTTCTTTTGGAGTATCTTAAAAAAGAAGCTAATAAGGATGCATTGTTATGTCAAAAGTTGGTGGGTTACACAGGGTTTTCTTTGGTGGGTTACACTGGATGAAGTTCTTGTATATTTGCTTATACAGTTCATACATATGAGTAACTTCAGTACTGGGAGATGTTAGAGATACAGACCAACAACAACAGGTAGACAAGTCTCCCAGGTAGTGGTGTGGAAGGCACCTGATGCGCTTCTACAACGTGTAACTGCATGCTTAACTTTGCATCGATCGACCAGTCCAGCTAGCTAGCTAGCTACACAGATATCTATTTAGAATGATTTGAACTAACGTGGAGCAACCTGAGCAACACATTAGATTTGCATCAGTGTCTTGCAAGTTGCTCGATGGATCAAGTGGAAATTATTATGCAAAAATGGCATTTATTGATTTCGGGGCCGATTTCGATTTCCATTTTGATTGCATTGGGATTGTCATTCATGAATATGATGTCTCAGCGACAGCATCAATCCCTGGGTACTTTATGACGTTTGGCCCTCAACGTAAGCTCAACATACGTACGTACCATTTCATCCCAGACTTGTATGTCCCATTTTACCCAACATTTGATGCTGATATTTAGCTCTTGGAAAGCAAGGTTCAATTTCCTCATGGAGAAGATTACAGCATTTTTATGCGTGATCTGCACCGAATAAGAACTTAATTCGTTTTCTGGATGCTTCCATGCACTGTTAAGCATGCTAGTTGCGACCTGGATTAGTATTTGCCTCATCAATTGTTTCTCTCTCCCACTTGGTGAAACAAAAAGGAAAATGTGCTCTTTTTTGTTACTGAAATACTGAAAGAAATTTGTTTTCACACATCTCCGGCAGACCAGCAACATACAAGCACTTGGTGAATGGATGGAGGAGATCCACCAGCTTTCTCCTTGTCGTCTTGCCAACATGCTACTCCTATATCACCCCCTCGATTGAAACACTCCCATATATCGCTTTATTGAGGTGTTTATCCTGTGGCTACACATTGTAGAGGACTGATTCGATGACAGCAGTGAGATCGGGGACAGATTCAACGATAATGATACATACCAGACTCCCGGATGGACGGACGCCTCGACAACTCACTCCCGCAGCGCTCGCGACCCTCCCCATTCTTATCCTTTCGCGTCCCGCGCCCACACCTGACGACGCGGCATCGCTGCTTCCTGGCCGGCGGAGGCTCCTTCCCCCACCCCCGGCATCCTCCTTCCCCCACCCTGGCGTCCTGCTCCCCACCCCGGCGGCCTTCTCCCCCACCCCGGCGGCCTCTTTCCCCACCCGGGCACTAGATGTGGAAGCGGTGTCCGCACCGCGACAGCGTGCGGGCCGTCGCCGTCGATCGTCGTGGTAATCCTCGTCGCCACCACCGGCGATGGCCAGGCTCCGGAGCAGCCACCGTTGGCTGTTGCCGCCGACTCCCGGAGGCTGAAATCGACCGGCGCAGCCTCCCCTTCCCCTATGTTCCCCAACCCCTGGCGGCTCCTTCCCCACCCCGGTGTCCTCCTCCCCCACCCTGGCGGGCGCCTCCCCCCCCACACCGGTGCCCTCCCCCACCGGGAGCCCCCAATGCCTGCAAATCCGGCGGCCATGGCACTCCCACGCCAAGCACTCTCTCTCTCACCCCCCTATGTTACAATTGTATGTTTCAATTTGTTTCAGGCATTTCAGTGGTATGTTGCATTTGTTTCATATGGATGTTGCAAAAGTAAATCGGGGGATGTTGCATATGTTGCAGTTGTTTCATAGGCATGTTGCAAGAGTATGTTTTCAAGTGTTTCAGATGTTTTAGAGATATGTTTCATCTGTGTTTTCTAGACGCATGTTGCATTTATGTTTATCTGGATGTTGCATATGTTTCACACATATGTTGTATGTGTTTTATTCGGATGTTGCGTATGGTTGCAATGGTTTTCAATTGTGTTTCAGGTTTGTTTTTCAAATGTTTCATAAGCATGTTTCAAGTGTTTCAACTTCCTTCAGACGTATGTTGCAACCGTTGTATTTGGATATTTCATCCCCCTAAGTCGGCACAACATCCCTACTAACGAGGGATGGGCGATGGTTGCCGCTGCCTGCGTAGCGGGATGGGCGCTGGGCAAAGGGGGCTGCGTACGTCGTGGTTGGGAGCAGGGGCACAGGCGCGTGGTGACGTGGGCGCGATGGGCGCACAATTCTGTTTCGATTCAATTTTACAAGAGGCGGCACGGCGGGTGCTTCAAACTGAAGCCACGTCCGGACATAGGCCTAGGGCCGGACATCCGGGCGCTAGGCTTGCCACAAATTCAAGTGCACATGTCGGTGATCAAGAACGTGGCGGACACATATACAACACGAGAGAGGAGTTTTGGTGTTGCAAGATGATCATGGTCCATGGTTGCCTGACTCAGCGCCACACCATGCATGGTCTGCTCGTGGACCATGTTGTGTGCCATGATGATACGTAACACCATAAAATTTGCAACATTTTAAAATAGATGAATTGGACTTATTTATGCAATAGTGCGTGCATGCAACATAGAAAAATAATAAATTTTATCAAATTAAAATTAAATATAAGGTTTACCTACATGTTTATACATTCATGCTGCTTCATATAATTTTTGTATTGTGTGGTTTGAAATCGGATTTCAAATTGATTTGAATTTGCATTCAAAATTTGTTGGGAAAATAGTTTAGAAAATAAAAAAAATGATTTTATTCCTCCCTTCTCTGTATTCAGCCCAGCTTGGCCTCCCTCCCGTGGCCCGTTCCAGTCCCATCGGCGTAGCCTCGGACTCCGCCGCAGCCAGCTCGGCCCATTTTCTCGCGCAACCCAGCAAGCAAGCCGGCCCGCAGAGCCGCGCAGCCGCTCCATTCTCTCATTCCGTTCTGTTGACACACCGGGCCCGCATGTCATCATTTTCCTCTCCCTTCAGCTCGTGTTCGAGCAGGACATCGCGCCATCATGACTGTGTTCGCCTCCGCTACGAGCCCTCGTGGTGGCGTGCTCCTTACGTCGCGCGGCTCATAAATACTGAGCTTGCACCGCCGCATCCTCATCCAGTTTTGGAAGCAAGCTGCAGCCGCCCGTGCCCTAAAACAACGCCACCGTGAGACGTAGATCCGCCATCACCGTCGATTCACCGCTCCGCCGCGCCTCCATCGCCGCGACCGCATCTCCGAGGTCCGCGAGAAGGTGAGTGTCCTGCAGGTGGCTCTCGTGCCCTCTCTCTTGCTTTCTGTGCATGTATTCGCGTTGTCGTTGATCTTCGGTGAGCTCGAGCCACCCCGTCTAGCGTCGTGTCACCCCCTGGCCATCTCTACCGCCCTAATCCCCTCCATCGTGTTCGCCTTGTTCTCCTCTTGCTCCCTGTTCTTTTTTCGTGTCATATGGGGGGCGGATTTGCCCAAACCGACAACGCCGGTGAGTTCCTCGTCGCAGTCCATGGAGGACCGCCGCGCCAGCCCTATTTCGGCCGGTCAGCTTTCTATCTCCCCCGCCCGATTCAATCTGTGCCGCTCAATTCTAATCCAACGGCCGGTATCGCCCGATACCCCTTTGTCGGTTGATTTTGCAAAAAGGCCATTACAACTATTTAGATCTCCACCCGCCGTCCTTGTGTTTTTTCTAAAGAACCCCTCAGATTTTTTATTATAGAACCCGTAGTCCAACATGCAAATCCAGAATACGTTTTCTTCTTTAGAAAACGTAGTTTCCTTCGGATTAGATTCAAAATACATTTTCATCTATTTATAGTTTTGCCACTAATCTTGTTTTAGCTATAAAATCTCTGTTTTAACTCCGATTTGATCCATTCAACTTGCGGTAGGTTCGTAATTCCATAATCTACATGATCATGCTACTGTTAGGTATGTTTTCAACTTTTAAAAATTCGAGGTTAGATTTAATCTATTATTTTACTAAAAGTAATCTTGTTTAATCCATAACTTTTTCATTTTAGCTCCGATTTTTATGATCTTCGCGTCTGTGTGTTCGTAGTGAGACGTAGATTCGTTTTACAAACTTTTCATCTTGATTTTATTTTTGATTGGTGTACTATTCTAATCTATAGCTTTTGTTTGCTATGCATGATTGCTTCTGGATGCTTGTATGTTGCTATGATTATCGAGTATAGATGGTGAGCAATTCATGGGAGACCAAGAGTATTACTTTGACGAGTAGGATCAGCAGGAGCAGTTTGTTCAAGGCAAGTATAGCATGGGATTATCCTTGTTTCATATCAACTTTAACACATTTAATTCATGTTGCATGTGTCACCTTGATAGGAATTCCTTAGAGTTGAACTTATACCTTGTCTCCTATGGGATTTGCATTGGGTAGCTTTGCTAGTGCTCAAT